CAAATTCAGGTTCCGCTCGTCATTACATCCAACTCGGCGATCAGCTGGAGTTTTGGCGTAGCTCCGATGAACAAGCTGGTGAACTACGATTCACGACCATCTGTGCTTTGCATTCTGAGTTGGTTGGTCTCAGCATTAACGGGGATTTGCGACAGTGGCGTTGGACAGATGCTGTTCCGTTCGTTAGTACCGATAATAAAATTTCTTCGAAGCGAGTAAGTCTCGAGATTCATTTTCGATCTTCTGAATACCATCATTAGCGCTTTTTGGTCACGGATTAAATCATCCACACACCCATTGCTCATTTGTTTGCGCATTTGTTATTTTGTGTTGATGAGAAACCATGTGCATGCAACAAAACATGTTTGGCATGCTTATTTTTGTTGCAAGCATAGAAGGGTAAGCTTGATAATGTTCATTCATTGAAAATACTTAATCTTGTATCTTATATTTATTTTTTAGCATCCAGTTGGATTAGAAAATTGGGAGGGAATGCAATGTGACGCCAGTTCCCGAAATTCGACCGTTTACTANATTGTGAAGCTTTCTGGTTGTGCTACGCGTGCGACTGTACTAACTAATTCCGGCAAGTTCGCCACATGGATGGACGAAAGTTTGACGTCTTCACTGCCCTTGCCGAATATCAGTTCCACACAAACCAGCAGTGCTCATTCGGGTCTTCTCAGCTTTGAACATCGTGCTATCCACTTCTCCGATTTGCGTGATGAAATTGTAGTTGAATTGCAGACAGCTCCATTGATCACAGTTGTTCGCTGTCTTTCTGGTGCAGTCTTTTGGTGGTAAGTTATTTATCTGTACCCACTTTTACCTCTCATTCAGCGACTCGGTCATTTGCCACAGTATCTTCGGTTACATTCAACTTTCCGAGCTGAGTTAGCTGAGTCAGTATCCTTTTTTTATTACACTTTCGTGTGATGAACAGCAGACGGGCTGAACCCCATAGTCACGGGGATCTGCTGTTCACAGATGGGAACCGGTAACCTAAGCCCCGGGACTAGGAGTGCTGAACCACATAAGACCCCGATAGGTTAAGTGGTTTTGAACCGGAAGACAGCAAAGCTGCCTACTACTCTATTCTTCCCGATGTAATGCCATTTCTATAGCTTTATAGTTTCTGTAATTAATTCACGTTTAAAGGAGAAACGAATACAGCATTGTTCACGCTTCGAATTCAATCTGCTTAAGAACATAACGCGTTGATCGATTAACATAAAGTAGAAGAGATAATGAAGTACGGTGGATTTGGTTTTTATGCTTTGATTCAGGATTACGTGAGTGGTAGAAGTAGCGTGATTTGAAACCATTTGCATGGCAGCGCAACATCTTTATTACAGTGTTTGATTTCTATTACTAAGGGGACTTCTTCAGGTCCATCTTATGTAGAAGACCGCCCGAGATTGAAGCTACCGCTTTAGTTGTTAGAAATTCATGTCAGCGGTTTATCACCGAGCCAAGTAACTATTCAAATCGCATAGAATAATTTCACCAATTGAAGTACACATACTTGAGTAAATCGACTTCACTTTATCTCTTAGTGAAATGATGATGTTCGTCACTTGTTTAATTAAAACCATTCCTTTATTTATTCGAGAGAAGGACAGCACTGCTCAACATTACTGCTGGATATCATTGAAGCATGGTCACACTTGATTGTCATCATCATCATCGTACAGCGAAATACCGTGAAGCGAACTTCACTGATCGCTGCCAAAC